CCTTGTGAAGGGACTTGTGACTGGCCTTGTGACTGGCCTTGTGAAGGGACTTGTGACGGACTCGAATACAACACTGGTAATTGGCTTGTATACGCAAGAGAAGGAAATCAGACAGTGTCCTTAAATTGACCCTTAAATTGCCAAAATGGCCAATTTTTTCAGTGAAAAGCAGCTGACTGTCTTTCGCATTGACCTTCTGCAGACAGAAAACTCATCTGTGAAGCAGACCCTTTATTAATTCAATTCAGTACTGCTTGGTGGTAAATATTATGCTAGCTTTACACTTGTGAAGGTTTTTAATTAGGTGCAAAAAGTGTTGCAACATCAAAGTTTGTTCATCAGTGCAAAGTCAGTGCTAACTACATGTACCTGAAATAAGGGTGTAACGATACCAATTTCTTCACAACCGAGTACATGATGCTTGCTCTGCCATATTCCCGTAATATAATCAACCGTTCATCAACAGATTGTACATCACTACATGAAACACCTCGCCAAAATGAAAATAAACCTTTTTCACTCATTGATGCACTAACCAGATTGAGATTATTCTAAACCGATGTACAGACGTGTAGATGTGTGAACCTTACTTATACATGCATTGATTTTATAGTGGATGTTTAGACCTTCACCACCGCGCATTTATGAACACGGTACACTCAGCGTTGTCCGAAGGATTATGAAAAAAGTCACAAGTTTACGGGCATTTCCACAGTGACTTGCGTCCATTTTGAAAGTTTTATTACCAGACATGTACTGGAATAAAGCAGTTGAAAATTCCTTTTACTGTGTACAGCAACCTGTACCTACTGACACTTGCTATAAAACAACAAATTATTTCAATAGATAACAAAGCGTTAATTACATTTTAATATAACCATGACTCACTTTACAAAAAATGGAAAGCGGCAAAATCAGCCGTGACTCGCGTTGCCATGACTCGCGTGATCGCGAACTTGGCAGAGATTATGCACACATTAACATGAATGTGTGGACAGTGTAAAGCTCTTCTTTACAGTTAAATAGCTCTCTCAAAGAATAAACAGTAGACAGTACAGACCTCTCATCAGAAGTATACAGTTCTATTAGACAGTGTAAAGCTCCGGACATGGACAGCTCTCTCAACTCCATTGATTATCAAATGCACAGCTCTTTTAAGTTGTGTAAAGGTCTCTTCTGTAAATCACAGCTCTCTTCAAAAGTATGCAGCTCTAAAAGTTAAGTTTGTAACAGTTACAAGTCACAACAGCTTTGTTGATTATTAAGTGCACTTCTCACCTTTTTAAAAATATACAGGAAATTCCAGAAGTTAGGGGTCCATTCTTTTCAAGTCCCCGTCACAGCTGACATTTGATTTTGTAAGTTCACAACACATGTTCTAATTTCCAAGAGTGATGAATTAATGCAAATTACCTGCCAAACAAATTCTAATAGTTTGAAATCAATTCCGATGATATTTCCGTGTCAAATAACAAAGGTCAGATGTAACAAAGACACAAAAATGTCACACTTTAATGTCTGGAATTACCCATACACCTTTGCTTGACTGCATGGTACATGTATGTGTATGCTAACAGTTCATACGCCTCCTCAATATATACAGCTAGTGTGCAGCTCTCTTAAATAGTACATGTATTCAGCTCTCTTTAAAGGAAACATGCAGAGAAAATCCAGCGCAGCTTATTTTCACCCAAATCATTTTGAGCTACAAAAATACAGGCAAGATTTAAATACTTTCATTTGACATATTAAACAAGAAGGCGGTACTTTTTCCACTCAACGAAAATCCTTTTATCAATACTTTTGACAGGGCATTAGTTTGCTTTTATCACACAAGGTTTTTGTCAAAAAAGTATAAGAAAAAAATGCAAGAAGACTGTCCTTAAAAATTACCTACCAACAAAATTTGAAGAAATATTTGCCATTTCTATTGTCCAGACAGGCTGCTATACATGGTTAAATAATAATCAAAAAGTGTCACTAAATGTACATTGTACCCGGTAACTCCAAGAACAAATGTAGAAAAATGATATACATGTACATTTGTGTTAACAGCTATGAAGGTACTATATGGATGACATCTGCTTTGGCCCATAAATTTTCATCTCCGTAGAATAAAAAGGTTGACATTTCTCTGCTTCAAAGAAGGTGAAAATTCATACATTGCAACAACCTGTACAGCCCGTAATCAAATGCATATCCCCAGTTTAGTAGTGCAAAGATCTCTTTAGAAATACATGTATTCAGCATATGAAGAATTCTCTGTGCGAAACAAGACTCGGCATAGCGCGCAGTCAGAATTACACAAAAATCTAAAGAAGTCAGACAAGAAGTTGCACCTCCTTTTTCAGATATATCAGCCTTCTTGAATACAGTCGACTCTCATTATTACGAAATCCCCGGGTCCATGTAAAAACATTCGTTGTATCCTAAATTTGTTGTAGATCTCTTCACAAATCTTCAGCTTTCCCACTTTGTCTTCTTTCGATTGTATGCAACTCTATGAATAGTGCCCAGCCGTCTTGAATAGTGCCTAAGCAAAACAGTAAAGAACTGTATATTTACAGCAAAACATTTGACAAGTTGGAAGGATAAGACTTCTCTTCTGCATGCATTTACAATCATACATGTACATATATAGGTACTTGTCTCCTTTATTTAATAGCATTCAAGTTGCATTTGTAATCAGTCCTTATTGCTTATTCATGTTAGCCATGTTTGTCTACCATCTTCACATAGTTACATGTACATGCGCACACACCATAACCATTGTGTGCTTGGTAATGCAGCAGTAGTCTGTATTAAAGGAAAGGCACAGGGCATTAAGCAACGTTGCATTACTCCTCAAAACACTTTAGCCTGTGTGTCTGCTTACTTTCCAGTTAGAAATGTTTTTAAAATAGCACTGTCACTTGGCAGAAGTCTTCATGTTATTCAAATTGTCGGTACAATTTCATATCAGCCACGGTGGGTGTTCTGGTGTTCTCCCGTTCAGCATGTTCACTTGGATCCCCAGTCTCTTGATATGATGAGACTGCTGCTTTAAGTCTCCTTCGTTTTGCTCTGTAGAATGGAAAGGAAGGAAAATAGCAACGGGCTCCTTTAAGTCACATCTCCAGTATTTTTCAACTTTTGAAACTCTATGGTCTACATGTAGTCTTTGTTGAACTTTTGTTGGAACTTTGTAATAGATTAGGAAATCATTTGAGGATTGAAGGCAATACAAAACATTTCAAATTCATCTTTGATTTCACTTCCCCGATAACTGACACTGGAAATTAAAATGGCAGTGATTCACTAGGGAAAGAAAACTGATTCCTTACTTTTTGTCTGTGCTTCTTTCCTCCATGGCTTCTGCTCCTGCTTCTGCTCGACCTCTGACCTTTGCCCTTTCTCCCAGAATGCCCCTCCTTGGTGGCCAATTTCAGGAAGCTGCTGAGCACAAAATTTGCTTAGCTACAGTATTGTCTAGCTCAGGCGGACAGGTTACCAGCCAAAAATCCATGTCATTTTTATGATAAGCGAACATTAGCTGAACACCAGTCACAAGCAATATACAAATGAACATTGACATCCATGAACTGCAACAGAAGCTAACCATGTGTTGTTTCGAACATTGAGGTGGGAAATTGTGGAAATGAACGACATCTTCATCAGACCGATTTACTTACTGAGCAGCCAGTTGCCTAGCGGGACAGTCAAGTTTTTGGACGCTGGTACCCATGCTCAAGCTTGTCGTGTTGCGTACAAATTGCATTGGGCGTTGGTACCCGACGCGGGTCTATAACCGCGTGGCTTGCGTGCGGTCTGCCTCTTCCGTCCCAGCGCTCTTTCGGGTTGCACCCTTGTTGACGCCGTGCCGCACTTTCCCACTCTTTTTGAGCCCAACCTCCGCGTTTGTGCTCTGGTGACTGGGTTTGCACCGAGTGAAGCCGAGCTGAACCTTGTACCAGGGTGAGTTGAACCCTAAAGTTGAGGCAAGAAGGAGGAATCTGCCCTGTTGGTCATTGTTGATGTTGCCCAGAAGCAGAACAGACACCTAATTAGGGAGCACCTACGTGTCTAATAAATAAGTACATCGGTCTGTCCCAGAGTCCTTTGGCTTGATCCGTTAGTTATTTCTATCCAACCCCTTTGTTCGTGTGTGGTGAGCGCGTGAGAGTGGTGGTAGACCTCCCGGCAACGAGTCTGCTCCCCCGGCCTTCTTATTAGACCGCTCGTAGGACGGCCGAGGCCCTACTCCGGGTACGTCCCCTTCCCAGGTTCGCCCGAAGGAAGTCGCCTGCCCCAGGCGGACGACAACTTTGGCTAGTCTAGGGGAGGACTCCGCCACAATATTGTAATATGTAATGTATGAAAATAAAATAACTCCCAAACCTGATGGAGCTTCCTTGAAACCGTGTTACCTCATAAAATATAGTCAATCATGGGCGATACCTGACCTTATTATCCACCACAGTGAATATGGGTTTATTTTTAGTTCCAGTCATGCATGTTTTAGTTGTGTTTGGTCAAGTGATGGCAGGCAAATCAAATTAACAATTATCCGGCTCTTGAGTGTGAACTCACTTCAGTTTGAACCACGCCCACTGCAACATGCACTGCGCATAGAGTTACCTGCATTGATCATAGTTTACAATGGGTGCGTTCGATTAGCTTACGGGTGCACCCTGGTAATTAGGCCAGAAATATGTCCGCCGAGCTCATTAATAAAAGTTATAGACCCAAAATATTCTATATTAGAGGGTCCTGAGAGCCATGGAACTGAGGAATTCAAGAAATATGAGACTGGGCCTCTGGGCCGGGCTCGGGGCTTCCAATTCTGAGCAATTTGGATGCAATCGGGTATGAAAGTGGCACTATTNTACATGTACCTGAAATAAGGGTGTAACCAATTTCTTCACAATCCAGTACATGATGCTTGCTCTGCCATATTCCCGTAATATAATCAACCGTTCATCAACCAGTTGTACATCGCTACATGAAACACATCGCCAAAATGAAAATAAACCTTTTTCACTCATTGATGCACTAACCAGATTTAGATTATTTCAAACCGATGTACAGACGTGTAGATGTGTGAACCTTACTTATACATGCATTGATTTTATAGTGGATGTTTAGACCTTCACCACCGCGCATTTATGAACACGGTACACTCAGCGTTGTCCGAAGGATTATGAAAAAAGTCACCAGTTTACGGGCATTTCCACAGTGACTTGCGTCCATTTTGAAAGTTTTATTACCAGACATGCACTGAAATAAAGCAGTTTAAAATCCTTTTACTGTGTACAGCAACCTGTACCTACTGACACTTGCTATAAAACAACAAATTATTTCAATAGATAATAAGGCGTTTATTACATTTTAATAACAACATGACTCGCTTTACAAAAAATGGAAAGCAGCAAAATCAGCGTGACTCGCGTTGCCATGACTCGCGTGATCTCAAACTTGGCAGAGATTATGCACACATTAACATGAATGTGTGCTTTCTTATAGCAGTGACTGACATGGGGCATGGTTTATTGATGCCCCCAATGGAGAGTAAACCTGTAACAAAATGTCACATGAAATGTTACATTTTAGGTCTGTAAATTGCTGCAACAGTCACTCATGCTAAGAGGCTCTTTGAACAGTGCACCCCTTAGGCCTTTTGAGTAGGAACCATCCTCAACCCTCTAAAATCCTCCAAAATTTCTTGAAAATAATTTTTGGAGGTGTGCCTACTGCCTCATAATCCTTCCAAATCCTCCGGCAATTCCTGTCGTTATGCTGAAGCAGTGTTAATGGCATTCTTGAGCTGGTGCGGTTAATTCAAAAGAAATATCAGGCTACATTAGTGCTTGACTAAGCACAAACAACATAAGGTCAAATCCACGACCTTCAAGCATGGGATCCTTCACAATCAGCCATGCACTTTTGTCATTCACCCTCAATCCTCCAAAATCCTCCAAAACTGCCGGAAGGATTTTGGAGGATTGAGGAGGGTTAGGGTTAATAACAGCTCTCTTGAGCAGCACAAACAGCTCCGTTTTTATTCCGGCTCTGTTGCACAGTGTAAAGCCTTTCTTTACAGTTAAATAGCTCTCTCGAAGAATAAACAATGCTGTTCAAAAGTACAGCTAGTATTCAGCTCTCTCAAAGAATAAACAACTACAACCTGTATGTTATTATCAAAAGCGCAGCTACTGTACAGCTCGCTCCCACAGTACAGACCTCTTGTCAGAAGTATAAAGTTCTATTTGACAGTTTTAAGTTCCGCACATTGACAGCTCTCTCATCTCCATTGATTATCAAATGCACAGCTCTTTTAAGTTGTGTAAATCACAGCTCTCTTCAAAAGTATGCAGCTCTCAAAGTTAAGTTTATAATAGTTACAAGTCACAACAGTGTACAGCTTTGTTGATTATTAAGTACACTGCTCATCTTTTTAAAAGTATACAGGAAATTCCAGAAGTTACGGGTCCATTCTTTTCAAGTCCCCGTCACAGCTGACATTTGATTTTGTAAGTTCACAACACTTGTTCTAATTTCCAAGAGTGATGAATTAATGCAAAGTACCTGCCAAACAAATAGTAATGGTTTGAAGTCGATTCCGGTGATATTTCCATGTCAAATAACAAAAGTCAGATGTAACAAGGACACAAAAATGTCACACTTTAATGTCTGGAATTACCCGTACAGCTTTGCTTGACTGCATTGTACGTGTATGCCAACAGTTCATACGCCTCCTCAATATATACATCTAGTGTGCAGCTCTCTTGAATAGTTCTTTACATGTATTCAGCTCTCTTTAAAGGAAACATGCAGTGAAAATCCAGCGCAGCTTATTTTCACCCAAATCATTTTGAGCTACAAAAATACAGGCAAGATTTAAATACTTTCATTTGACGTATTAAACATGAATGTGGTATTTTTCCATTCAAGAAAATCCTTCTATCAATAGTTTTGCTAGGGCATTAGTTTGCTTTATCACACAAGGCACTTTTTGTCAAAAAAGTATAAGACAAAAATGCAAGAAGACTGTCCTTAAAAATTACCTACCAACAAAATTTGAAGAAATATCTGCCATTTCTATTGTCCAGACAGGTTGCTATACATGGTCAAATAATAATCAAAAAGTGTCACTAAATGTACATTGTACCCGGTAACTCCAAGAACAAATGTAGAAAAATGATATACATGTACATTTGTGTAAACAGCTATGAAGGCACTATATGGATGACATCCGCTTTGGCCCATAAATTTTCATCTGCGCAGAACAAAAATGTTGACATTTCCCTGCTTCAAAGAAGGTGAAAATTCATACATTGCAACAACTTGTACAGCCCATAATCAAATGCATATCCCCATTTTAGTAGTGCAAAGGTCTCTTCGGAAATACATGTATTCAGCATATGAAGAATTCTCTGTGCGAAACGCGCAGTCAGAATTACACAAAAATATAAAGAAGTCAGACAAGAACTTGCACCTCCTTTTCCAGGTATGTCAGCCTTCTTGAATACAGTCGACTCTCATTATTACGAAATCCCCGGGTCCATGTAAAAACATTCGTTGTATCCTAAATTCGTGTAGATCTCTTCAGAAATATTCAGCTTTCCCACTTTGTCTTCTTTCGACTGTGTGCAACTCTATTAATAGTGCCCAGCCTTCTTGAATAGTGCCCAGCCTTCTTGAATAGTGCCCAGCCTTCTTGAATAGTGCCCAGCCGTCTTGAATAGTGCCCAGCCGTCTTGAATAGTGCCCAGCCGTCTTGAATAGTGCCCAGCCTTTTCTAATCCACTTGCTGATTTAAATCAGCCTTTTTCAATCCACTATTCATGATTTTTACCTTTAACAACAGGAGAATGTCAAATGACTTTAAGCATGAAGCAAAACAATAAAAAACTGTATATTTACAGCAAAACATTTGACAAAGTGGAAGGATAAGACTTCTCTTCTGCATGCATTTACAATCATACATGTACACGTATAGGTACTTGTCTCCTTTATTTAATAGTATTCAAGTTGCATTTGTAATCAGTCCTTATTGCTTATTCATTTTAGCCATTTTTGTCTACCATCTTCACATAGTTACATGTACATGCGCACACACCATAACTGTGTGCTTGGTAATGCAGCAGTCATTGGTAGTCTGAATTAGAGGAAAGGCACGGGGCATTAAGCAACGTTGCATTACTCCTCAAAACACTTTAGTCTGTGTGTCTGCTTACTTTCCAGTTAGAAATGTTTTTAAAATAGCACTTTCACTTCGCAGAAGTCTTCATGTTATTCAAATTGTCAGTACAATTTCATATCAGCCACGGTGGGTGTTCTGGTGTTCTTCCATTCAGCATGTTCACTTGGATCCCCAGTCTCCTGAGACTGCTGCTTTAAGTCTCCTTCGTTTTGCTCTGTAGAATGGAAAGGAAGGAAAGAAGCAACAGACTCCTTTAAGTCACATCTCCAGTATTTTTCAATTTTTGAAACTCTATGGTCTACATGTAGTCTTTGTTGAACGTTTGTTGGAACTTTGTAATAGATTAGGAAATCATTTGAGGATTGAAGGCAATACAAAACATTTCAAATTCATCTTTGATTTCACTTCCCCGATAATTGACACCGGAAATTAAAATGGCAGTGATTCACTAGGGAAAGAAAACTGATTCCTTACTTTTTGTCTGTGCTTCTTTCCTCCATGGCTTCTGCTCCTGCTCCTGCTCGACCTCTGACCTTTGCCCTTTCTCCCAGAATGCCTCTCCTTGGTGGCATCGTCCTTGTAGTCATCACCCTCGGAGCTCCTGTTGCTGTGCTGCGAATCAATGCTATCGCCTCGTGGACTATATCCAGATGGACCGGGATTGCTCTCATTTACTTCACTTGCCCAGTTTCCACGGCTACCATCTCTTCTGTGGTAACTGCTACGTGAACTCTGACCTCCAAACCCAGCCCTTGACCTATCCAGAGCTTGATGCTGTACCTCATAGAAGCCATCCCGGAGACTTCTCTTCTCACTGCCATAGTAACCATCACTTCTTTCGAAGCCACCTAGGTCCCTTCTCAAGTCTCTTGTTTCTGGAATAGAAATAGGCCCCCTCCCTATTGAGGGGGCGGGGCCTGGCAGGGCACGGTGAGGTTGGGCGAAGAAGCCAGCCATCCTGGGGTGAATGTACTGAGGTTGGTACATGTCCTGGCTATAATTCATGGAGTAGGGGATCTCATCCAGTGGCATGGGATGCACCCTGGAGCCCCTGTAATCCCTCCAGTCCATCTGAGACAAAAAATAGGATGCAAAATATTGAGGATGTAGTTGTGAAGACCATACTAGTAACCTTGTCTGAGGATTTACCGGTTCACTTGTCAAATTTTCCTTTCGACATTACACATTTTTTTAATTAAAGTTGAATATCTTTTTTTATTTTACATGCATAATTTTATTATTAAAGACTGCTGCCATTAACCTTCCTTGCTTGCTTCTTTGTTTGCTTGTCATGGAAAGATCAAACCTTTATTTTTATTAGACATTGTTGGTGAAATTCCAACTTTCTCCCAATCTTCTTTGATGTCCTGACTCATGTAGTTTAGATTTAAAGTTCTACTGTTCTCATAAATGAATTCAGATTTCCTTTCCTGATGATATGGAAAATGTTAACGTTCTCTGGTTTTATTCTTTGCCTACTCCTAAAAAAACCAATATTTAGCATCTCATGTCTTAAACGACAGCCCTGTCCAGTTCATTGCACTAAATATTTTGTTCAGCTGATCAACAAATTTGTTTTGGGACAAAGCTCTATATCTGACTTTCTTTGCCATTATAATTTCTGTTACTATATACAGTATCACAACAGCTTGTGAAACTTCTTTATATACATGTTAACTTTGTAGTCCTCAGACCACGTACAAGTTGCTCCAAATGAGGTTAATTTTTCACCTGTTGATGATACCTTTAAGTTTGATATTTGATAATTATTATTACAACGTGTGGCACAATTTTTCTTTTACAAGATGGTATATTGTTACACGTTTATTAAAGTGCCAGTATTTGATAAAGTACATGAACAAGTACTGTACCCGTAGTTTGTGCTACAGAGGCATGGCATGGGGTCATCTTTTTAATGTCTTGTCATAGCCCAAGCCACAGCCACTACGTATTAGCCGCAGGAATGGCCTTCGTCATGCATGTACAGTACTATCAGCTGTGGGTATAGCCGTTAACACATGAGTGGATGTCGCAACATTTGAGGGACTTGTCTTACCATGAATGGCATGCATGTCATGTCTACACTGGGACTGCTCCCACTGACGGTTGAGACGTGGCGTTTCTTCCGTCGTTTCTCTTGAGAATCTTCCTCTGTGGACCTGCTTTCTTCCGAGTCCCTGATAATCTGTAAGGGAATGATGAGCTTTTTAATCTGGTTCAATTTTTGGCAATAGTAACATTTCCTTAAAAAAATTTGTGTACATGTGTATTGGTGTCCAGTTACTCAGAGTCACGTCCAGGCTATGGTATGTTGGGGATATAGTCCTGTCAGAATCATGTGTCTGTAGGCTTTCCTATTTACATACACATATGCACATGTAGCGGGGGAACTCTGCTACTTCATGTACAGCCCATTTTTGGAAGATCTGTTTGACCCCTCTCTGGGATGCGTTTGTTTCTCCCGGATCCATGGTGTGATTTCTTCGAGCCCTTACTACGGTAGATGGAATTTATTTGAACAATAGCAGGAGTCAACACCCTGCTAACCCGTGTAGACCTAGATGTATTATGTGCATTAATTATTAATGCCCCAGCAATCCATAATTCTTGGTGTACCTGCCACTGTGATCCATGTCCACAATCATGTACTGTACCAAATTTTATGAATAGGATTATCCCATCTCATCACCCTGCCAAGGGGAGGTGGATGGCCGGGAAATTGTGCAGGTACAATTGTGCATTCTTACCCAAAAAGCCATCCTTTAAAAGGTGTTAGAAGGAGGTTATCCCTACTGGAGGCCAAGAGAACAAAATGATGGCATGTATTGAACCGTGCTGTAAGGAGCCCAAATGGGGTTTGAAGTGTTAGAACTGCAACAGTTTCATTGTAGTGGCCTGACATGCCTGAAGTATGAATGGTGCATGTGTTGTACGGACAAATATACAATCCACTCTCAAAATGAAGAACACTGCAAATCAGTATTCTAAAGAGCATTTTCTGCGAATCCTAATATAGATTGAATTCTGCTGTTTTTCATTATTTTTCCACTCCTTTCATAACAAAGTCCTGGTTATATAAACAAAGCAAGTTTTCTGGTCCCTGGAACTTTGGTATAACGAGAGTCGACTGTAGTGAAGCAGGACAGGGTCTTCTGCTTGCTCCGAGTTTACCACTCACAGATAAGGTGCAGAAGGTTCCCTGGGCCTGTTGGTTTTACTTTGAACCGGATCTCAATCCAATATCGTTGGTTCACTGACACCATAACCAACCTACTAATGGATAGAATAAACCAGCAGTTTGACATCTGATCGAGATACATATCTCTGTGAAACAAACGGGCCCCAAGTGGCACTTTCCTCAGCTGACGATTCAGCGAGCTCTGAATTGAGTGCTCAACTTTTGCAGGCAAAATGTGCTCAGGATAATTGTGATTCAGTTTCAAGGTGTTTATAAACGAGATTACATGAGTAATAATCATGCGGGGTTTTTTTTAATGTGCACTGCACACCTGTGAACATTAGAAAGTCAAGAATCAGTACTCATTTTACAAGCCCTTAGCAAAACAAGCAGTTGCACAAGAGAAGCTATTTCCCTGTACATGGCAAATAGCGCCCTCTGATTCAGAGAGTTGCAACATGAGCGTCTCCGTTGTTAAAACTTAAAACCAATATGGTGGACTGTGCGTCAGTGCACATGGACAGTTAGCACAGAATAGTTGCATGCTGTACTGCACACATAACGAACAGCCATTTTGAGTCCGAGGTCTAAAATTGGGACTACTCTCTCCCTACTGTATAGAGCTCTGCTCTGATTTGTGCTAGAATGCCCTCGTTTGCCAAGATATTTTTATTTTTCTCAGATTTTTAACTGTTCTGATTGAATCTGAAAGTTGGAAGGTATGGTACAGGTCTGCGTTAGCTTTACCCTGTGATTAAGGACAATGTTCCCACTCCTCTTCAGCGGTGAGGATTCTCTCCTTCCCCTTCTCACCACGTCTAGGGACTGGTCACCGCCTTTCACCTTCTGGGGAGACCTGTCACCAAAACGCTCAGGACCCGGCCTGGCCAGCCCAAGGTTGCTCCATGGTATCATCCGCTGGTCATAGCCAATGTTCCCAGGATCCGTTGGCCTAGCACAAACACTAAGGAATTATTCTTTGAACAAGTGCTCCCTTGTCCGTTTTAGTCATAGTGGAATCACCTTTCCGGGCTTAGTATTTTCTGATTTTTTAAATTTCAGTATTGTCTTATAGTCATTTTGACCAACAAAATTGTGGCAATTGAACACACACGTACAGTTCTCACAAAATGGCCACTTTTCTGAGAGTGGTTTTGCTGAGAGTGGTTCGTATGTGTTCACCATGCTTTATACAAAACAACCAGGGCATGGAACTTCATGTGTACTGCCATTGTGATGTACCTGTACATACTTGTACATAAACAGTCAACGTGAACCGCCATCTTTACATTATCTCATGTCTGTTGGCTTTGATTTTGGGTGTCACAGGATTTGACCTAGTGTTGCCATTAATCCTATCTCTGAAAATGTGCAGGAAGTGGAGTTGGAATTGGAAGAATGGAGGATCCAGGTGAAGAAAAATTGCATCCTTCTTCTGGCATCTCTTATTTTGACCAGAAAACTGCATCAGGGCCCAATTTCACGGCGCTGCTTAGCACATTATTTCATACTGACGAAGGCTCCACATATTTCATGGAGACCGTAAGCAGTAATCACAGCCAACTGGAAGCCAACCTTGTAGGAAAGGTTTGCTTAAATTTAGTGACATAACAACATAAATCTGTATGTGTGCCTAGCTGTTAGCACAACCACGCCAAGCACCACCATGAAGTAGTGCTTAAGAGTAGCAAATTTTTCTGCTTAAGTTAGCATAACTTTTATGCTAAGCATAACTTATGCTAAGCATAACTATGCTAGCATAACTTTTATGCTAACTGACAATTAGTAGTTCCGTGAAATTGGGCCTAGAGAGGTTCAGGGTGCCATGATTAAATCCCTTCACAGGCGATATTACATGTCTTGGAAGCCCCTCCTGTAGGGTCCATAAGCCTCTTCGTGTATGGGGTCATTGGCAAGGTCGGTGCAGTTGGTTGTGACGGAGTGGGTGTTGTGCTGCGACAGAGCCGTTGAAGTTGAGCCCATCGACTGCTCGTTCCTGCTTGGTGGCTGGTGAAACAATAAATTCATGTACATGTATTGTACTACACATCATCATGTGGCCCTCATAGTGGCAACAGAGCTCAACGGTGGCTCTGTGCTGGCTTGCATCAGGCCACAAACAGAATCATGATTCTTGCTTCATGCCTGGCAGAAGGGCCTCCACACAACTTACGTGCACAATGGAAAACATTTTATAACTACAGTACACCCGGTCGCTGGGCAGCAACTTGTTTTATTCAATTTCAAGGAGATGGTATTGCTGCCGTGCGTGCACACATTGGCCGATCCAGAGGACCCGGCTTTGACCTGCTTGTTCTTAAAATGCAAGAATAAAACAAAATCATTGAAAAAATGGCTTTAATGCTCATTCTGTGTGATCAGTGTATATCAGACAAAAGTAGAAAGAAAAAGCACAGGAAACAATCCCATTAGTTTTGACCCTAAAAAGCCATTTTTTTCCAAAGGGAGTGTTCTTGACACACCACGGTACTCGACATACATTGCTAAGCAATAGCTAGGGAAGACAGGGCCAGGCTGCAACTAAAATGTGGGCATCACGAATGATCCATTTTGAGGTATACACATCCAACCTGAACACTGACCAGTTGTCTTGCGTCCATCGGCTCAGGATTCGTTGAGCTTGTCAGTGAATCACTGGATTTCCTCTTTCGAAGCTGTACAAATCGAAATACACCAGCTGGTCATTCAGATTTGTTGTTCGTTTTTTGCAGGGACCAGCAGGGTTTTCTCCCCCTCTTTTTTGTAAATGCTGGACCCACCACCGCCTTGATCACAGCAACTCGTCTCCCAGGCATTTTAGTTTTGGTCACACCTCCACGAAATGGCCCCCTGCCTACATCCTCTACTGTGATGACCACAATATTTGTGCTTCAACTTCCAAGGGACATCAAGCCCCAACAGTGAATACATGTGGTTAATTATATTGGTTCTACTTTCCCCTTTCCATCAAATCATCTTAATCCTTTTTTTGGTTGATTCTAAAGAGCTGTGAAGGTTGTGGGTAAATTGGATATGGGATTTGAAACTTTTGGTCTTGTTACGTTCATCCTGGTTCTGCTTCTCCGTCGGCGGCTCTTCCGACCATGCAGAATAGCTCTCCTAACATCATGACTGAGCACCAGATACATCATGAAGAAGCACAAGCCCTGGTGAGGGGTGAAACGAAGAAACGGCCAGTAAATGAAAACTCACACTCTTGTTGAAAGTGTTGATTTATTGCTGGCATTTTCCCACTATCCGAAGTTTCATGATACTCCAGAATATGCTTTCTGCTGGGTGGGATGTATTGCTTTTTGGAAGTTACAAGTCGAGTCAAATGTCTTTTCTTTAGACCAGTCATAATTAGCAGGCTGAACAGTACCAAAGGAAAGTGTTTGTCCTATTTTCTTTGATCAACTTGGTTGGGACCTGGTTTAAGACTGGAAAACTTGTGATGGACTTGCAGTGGCCTGGACATCTAGCCACCAGCACCTGTCAACATCATGAAGATGCCAAGTGAGCTTGCTAATACCCACACCTCTGAAAGAAACCTTACCAGGAGAAGAGCCGAGATGGCAAAGGCCTGCTGCAGGAAGTCGTCTTGCAGCTGGAAGGCAGCGATGCCAAAACCCCAGCAGACACAGAGCAGCACCAGGACCAGTATGTTGGATCTCAATCCATCACTGTCACACACCGACAAATCTCATGTTGTAAATACTTCCAGAGACCCTACGATTGCCTTTTTTTAAACATTAACTTCTTTGGATGTTTTCATTCTTGTGTGTTTTCATGATCGTCAGTACTAGTGGTGGCTGTCAAGTCTCTACCATGGATTCTATTTTCTTATCAATGTCCACAATTTAAATGTACATGTATGTACATGTACAATTACAGACACACTTACATGTACACCAGTGTTGAACCTGCCCAGGTTCAACTGAGATTTCAGACCAATCAACATATGATGTGGACTGTGTCAGTTTCCTGGCATTATTTCTGACTTGAACCAACCGACTGACCCTGCCAGGCTTGGTGATGTAGCGGTCAAATCATGCACACTGTTAAACAGGTCATGGAGTTGTGGCTTACCAGGGCAAACTTGAGTTTAGTTTTCTCAATCAGCAAGCACTGCTTGGACATGTACTTGAATTACTCAGATATGAGCAGAATACGATTATCCAACAGCTCCCAGAGAGTTCGACCTACAGTCTACTACTTTCTATCAAAGTACCTTCACACTTGAAAAAAATAGTAAAGCACCAGTTTTCCCAAAACTCAGTATTCCTTCATAAAATGTCCTGTCTTGTTTTAGGAGAAACCTTTGTGCGAATATTAATCCATTCCACTGAGGGATTGAGTAGTCCAGGAACTACATAGATACAGTTTAAACTCTGATACATGTACATGTGCACTTACACTGCTCTCTGCCTGGTAGTCTGGTCATCGTCGGTGCCACTCTGCATCACTGTGCCGATTGGGACATTCTTTCCCGAGACGTAAACCAGAACCAGAACATTGATCTGAGTAGAAGATGATACGAGCCGAAGTAATCTTTTTGCTAGACAAAAAGGTCAGATTTTCAAACTGCAGAGTTTGAGGCACATAATATTGTGGATCAATGTAATTTTTTGTTCTACTCACTGCATATACTCCTGAATTAAAATTGTAATTTGATGTAGTCATTCTGCAATTTGTAAGGCAACCTGTTGAGACTCATTTGTAAAAGGTGCATTTCATGTTAAAATATTTTGTTTGTCCACATTTTAAGCACTGACATTGTACAAGATTGTCAACTGCGAGAAATATACCATGCAATGTTTGACATTATCTGTGGAGTACTTGGCTGCAGAATCATTCAAAGTGTAAACAATTTTTGTGGTAATATCATGATAAGTTACAGTTTGTGAAAACAAAACAAACTTGTACAGAGTGCGCACTTGAAAATCGCAATCGCGCCTTACTGCATGGTGTGGGCATTCAGGTTATGCCACCAAGTATCGATGTGTGGTGTCAGTGGCGAATTGTGAGTATTTTGTTGAGCCTTCTTTCCTTCCAGACAGCAGAACGTAAGTGGTAAAGTGAACTTACCAAAGCTGGCACTGCCAGAGAACATATCAGGCCGACCACAGCATTGTTGCTAACCCAACACCTGGGAGGAAAAGAAAGCCTTAAATTTGGTTGTTCCGTTCAACAGATCTTAGTGAAAGCATAAAGATGCCTTGGTTTTGTTGTTGGATTCTTCTAACTTCTATTAGTTTCATTTACACTTTGTTTACCGTAGAGTTTTTCCACGTGGTGACAAACAGCTGTGGCCAGAAGTGTACATGTACATGCACTTGGACTGACTATGTTTAATTCCAAATTCAAGACTTTTCCAATTTTTGGCAGCCATTAGTTTTCTGTTGCTAATCAGCCACTCATTAAACACTTTCTGTCAAGTACATTGTATATATGCAAACTCTTGACCACAACTGTATTGGACTATTGACCATTTTTAAACCTAACATAGTTTTAGCATTCATATTCTTTGGCACTTTCATTTGTTCCAGTTTGTATCTTTAGTAATTATATTTTTCTTGGGTTTGTTCTTTATCCTTATGTAGGATTCTTCTCTGTATGTTCTGCACGGCGTACATACACATGTCTTTCCTTGATCAGTCTACTTAAAGGCAAATCAAAGCAATGGCTGGTAGAGTCATAGTTGACCACCCAGAATACCTGTCCGCTCCGCCATACTCATCCAGCCAAAGTGCCATGCATATGCCGACGGGAAGTACAGGTCCACCTGGAAAAAGAATAGCCCTTAACCTTGAACGACCACATTGCGATAAAAAGTGCACACAAAGCAATGTAAATTGTGTCAGTGTATAGATTAATGACCTGCTGGCGTAGTTTGTGGTTTGTACTTTCTAATGGCATTTCTTAATCTCTGAGCCATTGAAGTCAGAACCTCTGTTAAGAAAGAGCGGGGCCAAAGGAAAAGTAAACACACTCGGGTAACATGGATTGCTCAGGGACACCATTATTGTGGCTGAAATCAGCAACACACAATGCTTCTTCATGAAAGTATCAGAGAGTGCCTTGTTAAGACTAGAACCTTGAGGCTCCATCATGTGCCAATTTGAGGCACGTCCTGAGACTGGCAGTACAGTGGAAACATCAATCTGCTACTTGACAGCACATTTGGCCATACTCACACCAGCCAATTACGTGGTAGATCCAGAGCTGAAACGCCCTCTGCTCCTGCCGCTCCGAACTGGCCGCGAAACAGACCTGAAGGGCGCCCTCCAGTGACCACACAAACTGTGTTGTCAAGACGTAATGCGTAGCTACTGCAAGGACCCTGCACACCACCTACAGAGCAAGTGGAAAGTTGGCTCACTGTCACATTAAATAAGAATTTTTCAGTTATATTTATACTTATTTATAATTGAGAGAGAGTCTGAACATTGTCACAGAGCAAGTATCATATGTTGAAAAAAAAGCTGTTCATAGATAGGACCAGTTCACTATCTTTTTGTCTCCAGCATTTTTTGTTTAGATGGCCATTTTAGTATACATCTCTGTAATATTCCTCACTTTTTCATTCGCCTCATTTGTATGCTTCATCTGTGTAGTTGTGAATCCGTCATAACAAGCCCATTGCCTGTCTTGAATTCTTCCAAACAGGTCGCTGTTATTTTCATATTGTACAATGCTTCAGGTTTCTTCTTTTTTTTTTTTGCCTTATACCTTATCGAAACGTTTGTCAACTTCCCTATGTTGTTTTAAGTACTGTTGTGTACAAGACAGTTTTAAGGTTTATTTACTGTATCAGAAGTATACATTTCCATGTCCAATATTTAATATCAATTTTCAAACAGTATTTGAGCTAGACGACAGAAATACCACTAACGCAATTTGCACGTTACAAAATTGCGATTTTATCATGGGGGGCGGGCTCTGCGAGCACAAACGATTGTCGCAAGACTCCTACCTGATTGGTTGTTCTCTCCATACCTGCCATGACAACGACGAAGCTGAGGATGATTGACAGCGCTAGAGATACGTGCACGGTTAGAGAAGCGGCACTCAAATGCCTGAACAAAAACAAACTCAGACAAATGTGAACCTTTTAGTTGCACAAGGAAAACTGACCCAAGTGGAATGCAAATAGCCAGCTGTACAGTGTGTATTAATAACATAGCATTGGAAAGAGGAAAAAGGTGGCTTTAACGTGCTACTACTTACTTTGGTGTAAAGCTGACACAATTTTCACAAACTTGAACAGATATCTTGTTGCGGTTTTGTTTGTTTTTCGGGTTTTCTTATACACACTGTATGTTGGTTGTCCCTTCTAATCGGTCAATTTTTTTTTTCTTTACTGTACCAAATGTAATGGTTGGAAATATTCTGTAGATAAATCTGATATACATGTATCAACCCGTCGGAGTATGACTAAAACATTCGTCTGTGGTTTATTTCTTTCTTTTGTGGGGTTGTTACGATTTTCACTCTGTCCCTTTTGGGGGATGGCCCTGCCGTTATCTCATTAAGAATTGAAGCTATTTCTGTAATCCCTTCCAAAGTCAAAATGTCCCCAATGTTTTTTTTAATCCGTCCTTGCTTTGATGAACGATCTTGCCGGTAATACTTGTATTATAAAGCGGAAAGATACGACTTTGTTAATAGCTGTGTTTTGAGAGTCTGCAAATGACGTAGGAATTGTACAGCCTCTTGTTCTGTCATCTGCATTACTTCAATTCAGTTCTTTTTGGCGTACTTCATAGTCTTACCTGACTGAGAACAGAATCAGAGTAGACAGGAAGATGATGAAGCAAGAGGCGGAGCATAATACGTAGGTCAGTAGCAGGAGATGGTACGGCTCGATCGTCTGGAAGAGACAAAGTGGCAAATGACAGATGAGCACTGTCGGACCAAAAGTTCTCATCTGTGCAAAATATTTGTTGGTGAAGCTGTCGCATACGAATCATTTTGTAATTAGAATGGGAGCAAAGGGGAGTGGGTTTCTGGAGTCGTATGTGCACTGGGACTCCTTTACTATTACATGTACATAAGAAGTAGGGGTCTACGCGACCCACTGTCACGTGGAGGTTTAGCAAGTGGATGCTCAGTGCGATTCTGGGCTGTTAAGGGACAACTTGAAAAACTGCCCCATTTCGACTGAAGCAAATTTCACTGCAAAATGTTTCCCGATGTCTTATTTCGCTTCACACTGGTGTTCGCCTGAAGTATGAATCAGACTCCATATCAGCTGTTATTCACATTCCAAAAGTCGGTTTTGGGACCTTCTCTTTGTGAGAGCATTTGCCTACGTTAAGTTCTTCACTTTCCTTATGTACAAAATATCAGCCTTATGGGGTTTAGGAGTAACAGGAATTTTATGACCATACCATAAAACAGAGTGCGCAAAGTGATCTCTTCGAATTAGAAGTTAATCGAATTAGAAATGTACGTATCGGGTAATCTATAGAAAAGTAGCATTTGGAAAGGTGTAAGGTATGAACTCATTAGTTGCCTGGGTGAAAAAGCTCGTTCAAAGCATATTTTGTGCTTCCTCCCGTCTTTTGTCCATTCTAAGATTCTTAAAAGGATCTGTGATCTTGTGCTCTTTTTTCACCTCAACGGCACTGAGTAAAGCGAATGACGTCATGTGGTTGCAGCAGCAGTGGACTGATCCATTCCTCTGTTCGTTGATCCAACAGCCGTCGGTTAACCACTGACTTTCACCGCTGAACGAAGTAAAGAGGGTGAAGAAAATAAGTATTTGTTGTTTCTTTGGTTAGGTTTCAGTTTGACATGAGACAAAACGGGATGGTGTTGAAGTTCCCTTCACTTGTAATGTGCTTTTGACTTGTAGTTTTTGTGAACACCAAACGTAAGCTTTATAATTGTGCATCACAGTCTTTTCTGTGTGGACCCAGGAGGACAGTACCTTTCGGTTCGGCTGAGGTAGACGCAGCTTTCCTCCTTCCCGAAAGTCGGAACTTTCTGCAATGAAAAGCAAATTAACTATGTACATCTATGGCGCATCACATGACGGTGGCTGCAACCTTTTCCCAGTGATGTCACGGTCGTGCTGGACGAGTATGATGTGTTGTGATGGTAATGAGTGCATAATGCCGTGATGGTAATCTTCCTATTCAAAACAAACTAGTCAAGCATGCAGCGTTCGCACGTGCGCTTGCACGTGGTTGAAGCTGCCCGTATATGCGATCACCGTGGCCAACGCGGTCCACACGTGGTGGTATTGTTTATATTTAGTCACATGGATGAAAAAGGTCTATACAGCTCGATACACAATGAAATAATACCTTCGTAAAGTTGATGCAGAGCGGCACCGAGAGCTTCTGAAAGGCCTGTCCTGATTGGTGGACTCCCGATGATGTCACTATCGCCGACATAACCTTCAAAGTGCTTCCAGAGCTATGCGATATAAGAAATGGCTCAGGAAAGTAAACGCACACTAAAAAAGTCCCTCTTCCGAAAGTAAAACAGATGTCCAATTTTGTTCCACGAGATTTGTTCAATTTCAGCATTCACACTAAACAAAACGTTCTTTACAGATGAAACCAGATGTGTAACGATTTTTGAGGTGCTTTCCCCATAATGAGGGCGGCATCGATCATTTTAATTCGTTGGCTTTATGTTTTAGGGATTCACCTTTTATTCGCGGGAATTTTCTAAATTACTTCAGAAAACTCTGGATTTTCTTCAACCGATAACTGGTATTAGCTATTCTATTTACTCTGCAAACGTTATGGTAACTAAACCATCGCCACGCTGTACGCTGTCGTCGGTCTCTGTCTTTTTTTTTGCAAATGGTCTGTGTTAACCAACATTTTTGAAAATTGCTCTAACCTTTTGCGCGTTGGTAACGCACGTATTCACCGCGAGTAGCATGCACCACGTTACCATTTGCCCTACTGTTTGATTACAATTATTTCGTCTCACCGATAATGACCACTGTATCACTACTGAGATGTACGCGCTCGCGGGACAAACTAAACATAACATAACATAACTGTGCTTTAGAGGTACTTGGTGGCTTCATCCTTTTCTCAAAATGACTACTTCCACAGTTCCAGCTTTTCAGAAAGAGTGGGAAGGATGCCAAGTTTAAGTAATGCATAATTGTGGGACTTCAGACTGCAGATTCTAATCCGGCCTACATGTACATTGAACTTACCTTGGTTTGATAGTAGAGGGTACAGAATCGAGCAAGTCACCGATAGTAGGATACAACACAACCAGAAGTGTCACTAAACACAAGACAGCAGAAAAGAAGAGCTCATTTTTTTAACCACTGTCAAAATGACTACCGCAATCCAGCACATTTCAGGTTTAATTGTTGAATCAGATTCACAAAACCAGATCAAAGTGCCCCCCTTACACGCTACGCGCTTTGATTGTGTTCCACGTCGGTGTATAGCATCACGTGCGGACATTCCTGTCGTCTAAAGCTCACGTAAATTGTACGAAACGACGCGCCTAACTCTTACACCTGCATTTTGGATAGCAGAAACGCAGGCCACAAGTATCCTAGCGAAATGGAGATCTTATAAATAGGAATTGGATTGTCATACTGGGTCTTGCGAGTGGTCACAATAGTTGTACATATGGTATGACGACTTGGGAAAAAAAGAGAGTATAGTGTTGAACATGGCGTGGACATTTGACGCCACACCGGTCCGCTACAGGCAGTGGCGTGGCTGCGGAGCCCGAAGGACGATTGTTTTGCCTTTTTCGGTTTAAAATGTCAAATCTTAAAATACAGTAAAAGGATAATCGATGTTTATCTCTTCTATTAAATCTTAAAATGGTAGCAGCACTTTTCAGGATATTTCCTACGAATGAAAAAAAATATTGAGAGTCTTTTCAGGAAAAACAATCCCAGCTTTCCCCCTCCCCTCCGGACTCAAAACTTTGACATGCTGCAGGCTTGTGTGAACCTCTCACAGGGTGTGGGGCTTTGAACTTACATGGGGCAACCCTGACCTGGGGATGGCCGTGAGTGCAATGTCAAACAAGTGAGACGATGGGTACGAGGCTAAACCTGAGTCAACTCGTGTACGCTTAGCGAACGCGCCCAGTGAAAGAGAGGCTGGTGGTTTTGTTTGGGTAAACGTCACCCTTCGGGTCAAAGGCAAGGCAGGTGTCATTGTCTCATGACATTTGGGTTCCCTTAAATTCTGCTTTTTGTCTCTTGTGATAACCCAGCCTCTATACAAGCGCTTAAAATGCCACTTCTCTGTACTGTGCGCCTTTTGGTAAAACTGTGTGCAAATGGTATCGTATGGAGTCCCAGTTTTTTATTGGGTACACAACTAGTCCAGTTTGTCTGCATAAGGGCTGACAGCCTTATTCAGTTGAAATCCTGCTTCTTGACCTGTACTTGTAGACGGTGCCACTTGGCCTTTATGTAGGGCTCCGACACGTACTTTGACACACCGTACCTATTTCGTAACGGTCCCCACCTGCTCACTTTCTGGTCATTAATCCTAGCGGCAGTCTACCCCTTCGGCTAAGCTTCTGTGAGCAGGGATGATTTGTGATGTAAAGGGATGTAAAGAAGGGCACACACCTTGTTCGTCTGTCACGCCCTGGAAGACCTCGGGCGGCAGGGTGATGGATGCACGGGGCGAGGAAGCCGTGTAAGAAAGGCCGCCAAAACTCCTTGCCGTTTCCCTCGATTTCCTGAAAACTACAATACAATTCATCATCTACATGAATAGACTGCAATAGACTGCACTTGTTCTCACAACGCACGTTTCCAGAATCTCATACATTCATCTCGTAATAAAGACTGCAATGTTTAAATCGTAGGTATTATGTATAGGCCCTAACTATTCAATTTCCGGAGATGATGAAAACAAAAACAGCTGGAAGCCAATGCTTTGAATATTTAGCTTTGTGGTGGCAACTGGTATTTATCGTCTTATCAAGGGAGATCTCGATCGCATTATCTGTTATGATGCAAGATGCAAATCCAATTTGTTCCCATTACCCACGAGCAAGGTTTAGCCAGCACACGACAAGAACATAAGAAAGGTGGTAAGATGTTCACCTTTGAGTCCTAGTACAGAAAGTGCAACCTATTGAGTTTTTTTCCAGCTCTGTAACTTTTTCATATTTTGCCAATCGACTGCACGTTATATTGCTACCTATGTTGTCGTATTTGCCTTCAAAGAAGGCCGCCGTGTCCTCCTGCAATGCCAGACTCAGTTCGCAGGTTTCCGTTGCCGTCTGCGCGGTGAAGCTCTCCACAGCGTCCATAATGCGCACAGTGTCAGCTGCAACCTGAGAATGTGGAATATGACATAGAGCACTATAGCTTTCACTGGTAGATGATACCCCAAGAAAATGTTTTGTCTATTTTTGCTTACTGTTGGAAGAAAATGTACGCAAACGTAGCAGGTCAAGCACAGAAGAGGCCGGGTTTTTCATTTTTATTTTTTTTTTACACATCTTGGCCGCGGAATAACCAAGATCAAATCTCACTTTTTCGCATGAACATAACAAGACTCTTGTTCAAATTAAACTGTTTAAATTAGAAATTAAAGCACAGCCGAATTAAAACATTCCTAATCCAGGATATTACTATTTCTGATTTTTGTGCAATCCCCCATTGAAGTGACTTTCACCGCTTTTTCGGCAGTTCGGCATTTTTCTTGCAAATTAAAATTGTACAAATCCAGTGCTCCATCGTGTATAAGTCCCCACCCAACAAAATTACTCACACTTGGCAAGGAAAACAGAGAACGCCGTCGACAATGCGAGGGAAATGTAGGCCTGTAATGTGTAAATTTTCCAGCATGGACGTGCGCAAGTTCCACATTGAATTCCTCTCTATATACTGACACATTCTGGTGTTTGAACGTGAGGTTCAAACCGATTTTCTGCAAAACTGATTGCTAAGTCTTACACTGTTTGCAGTAACAAACAATCTGGTCGAGTCACTTAAGAGCTTAATAATACTGTTCAGCCCCAGACCATCTTAGAGCTTCGAGGAAAGTAGTTATATAACATTATACCTCTTGATTTTCCTTCCAGATGTCGATGTTGCTGGGGTGAAGGATATTATCCGTTGCTTGTAGAAAAGACTGAAGATGAAATAAAGGAATTTTGACATTTAAAATAAAAATGGTTGTATCAAAATATCTTCTATGAAAAATAATGGTAAGGTTTGGTTTGCTGCACCCCTTGTCAACTGCCTCATCACTACGTAACCATTACAGTTCCAATGAAATGTTAACTCGTTTAGTAAATTGCTTGCAATAGTGAATCAGATGGATTCAGAGAAAACAGAGGGTTTCGCTTGACTGACAGCAACCGTGATAGATAAGTTGTGCTTCACTCCCTCGACTTTTTACAACACAACTACCGTCACCAACCGTCGATCCATAAAGAATCCTACATAATCAGAAGATGTCTTGCTTGCTATTTTCACCACACGGGGGCGCTTGGTCACCGCTCTTTATACCTACATTAGCGAAGTCATCCATGTCCACCTGTCGACACTCGGTGAACTTGTCCGGTAGAGCTGCCAGCATCTCCAGCAGCTCAACGAAGGCGGAATACTCGTCGGCTGAGCTAGCCTTGCCATCAGCCGAAGGAGGTGCTAGCATCTGCGAAAGTTGAAAGGTCGCTTTGATGACCTCACCAGGGCTGACGCTCGAAAAGTGGGACAGCAGGGTCAACTGGATGTGTAATACAATCATGAAGAGATGTGTTCCATCGAACTGGTCTAGAGAAATTGTTACCTATGTTAAATATCTGAACCTCTTCTCGTGCACGTACCGATAAGTGTCTAAAGGTCTTTCAAGCACGCTATTGTGCGTGGTAGTAAATAAAGTGTACAGATTACTAGGATGGTACTCTTCATTTTAAAGAGATTTGTGTTGTGTTACAAGACTTCTTTAATCAAAGGGTCCATCAGTTCAAAAAAAGGTTTATCGGATGTACTTTTTTTCTTCGTGAGGAAAAAAATGTGGCAGAGTGTGGAGAACTTTTGGGGCTTCCTTACAAACAAAATGTATTTATCAGCAATGAAATAGGAGAACTACTTTAAGCCATTATATTATGCAGGAATGTAACATATATTGTACACCTGTATCACGAATATCGCCCAAGTGTCATATGGTGTCAGCACCCCCCCACGCCTTTCAAATTCCCAAAGTTGGGTAATGTCCCCACTACACCCAGCCCCCCCCCCTTCTCAGAACAAATTGATTTGTCATTTACCCTGTCCAGTAATTCTCCAGGAGTGGGTACCCGACAGTCAGTGTAGTCAGGCTGTCTCCACGCTGCAGTCATGATGGCCACCGGTACACATTCCCGCCTCACCGTAGCTAGATAGAACAGAATGAGATACCTAGAAATGAAGTACGTGCAGCACGTCTAGAAGAGCGCGAAAGACAACGCGCGTAAATGGCGTATCCGTGCATTATCACACTTATAAGCACTGGTTTGGAGAGGAATACTTTACGGCATGTGATTTCTGTCTTGACCCATCTTACCATTATTACACCGTTTACTGTAGGGAATTCTGTAATTTACATGATTGGACCATCCAAATACCAAATGCCCTACAGCAAATAAAGCCCAACACGCCCATAGTTTTATGCCATAAGTGACAGTGTGTTATAAGGGATATGCGTTGTTTGAGATCGGGTAGCTGATATTTTATTCACCAAACGCTACGTGTCGCCCTAGTTATTTTGAACCTGCTCATTGCGCAGGTAGAAGGGTCCTTAAGAGCCTGCCACATCAAACGAAGTTAAGAACATATTTCATGATATTTTTAAGTACATGGGACATGACAGGTAATACATGATACCCATTTCATAGTTCAGTTTAATAACAAGTAAGGTTATACCCTGGCAATATACAAAGTCTTATACTTAATCACATTGGTTTTTCATTGATTTTTAAGTCAATTATCGGCACACTCTTTTCAAGACGTACCAATAATTGACTTTGAAATCAGAAAACTTTTCTCAATGGTAATTATGAAGTCAACGCAGAGGAAACTTCTGGGATTTGAATACTGACGTACCAAAGGGGTTTTCCGGGCAAGTCTGAGTGGCCACCGTGTTTTGCGGCGTCTCTGCCCACTGCAGCCCATCTAGAATCTCGGCACGGCACACCACCGGAACGGGAGTTGTCCCTGACAGGTTTATGAAAATGAAGTCGCTCACAATGAGAAAATCATCAGTGCATGCAACCTGTCAAAACATAGCATGCCAATTAAAACTAACCACTATCATTACACCATGGGCTTTCACTCTACGTGGGGGCGCTAGGTAGGAGCTCCATATGGCTTCCTCTGCGCGCCTTTTTCTTTGAAAGTACAGCGAACGTGCGATTAGACACATTTGAAAAGCGAGTGTCCAACACGTTCCCCGCAAGAAAGTAATATAGAAACTAGTATTATAATATTACGCAATTACCTGCTACACAAATTGCAGTTATCAGCAAACATGTTATTTTGCATGCAATTTCAAACGAAAAGTCACAATCAACCATGCACGACAGTGATTTCTTGAAATTCGCAGACATGCAAAAATTAACGTGGTTGTGCAGTTTACTTTTAAATAAAATACCTATGGGTGAAGCTAAGAAATCTTTGGTATCCAACAAAGAAAATGCATAAATAATAAAGAAAGCTCCGCCTTGTAAAATTCATGCCGATTAAAAGAAAAGGTGTTCTGCTCAAGGAGTTGTCTGAAAATGTTTCACTTCCGGTTTGGCTTCACGTCTTTGGTCCAAAATTACCTTAAAGTGGATCCAAATTGTAAAAAAAAAAGTTTCTCACGGACATCACCCTGGTAAGCGGCAAACTGGTTTCAACGTATCCGTTGGAATTGCTTTGAGCCGAAGAGTTTCGTGACCAAAACTGGAAGCCAAACTGTGGACAAATCTGAGGTTTGGAAACGCCACTTATGCAATTAGGCCCACTCCATACAAGGTTTTGACTTTGACGGATTCCGGTGTGCACTGGAATCCACCGGTTTTGGACTTGTGGCGAGATTGTGTAACGATTCATTTTCAGACAAGAATAAGATTTTAACACTGGTGCATTCAGTTGTGCAAAGAAAAGTTGCAGTTAGAGACATAAACAAGAACAAAAGAAACCCGTTTATAATTCCGAAAGCTACACACGTACTTCTGTATCATGCAAGAGAGTCATTCATGCAGGGTTTGCAGGTACGTTTTGTACAGTATTATAATAGTCGTCTTTCTTACGTTAAACTACGGTAATCATGCAGTGAACGTGCAGCACTCTGTATGCGTTTCTTTCTGTTACAACACCACCTCCTTTCATGCAAACATGTACGTTGCCAGCACAAGACGCATGCTCATTGGTCAAATGCTGAAACTCACCGTGTGAGGCATCATGGCTTGCCGTTTCCGATTGGTCATTGATGGCAGTTGTTGATGACGTAGTATCCGTTGTTACGGATTCGTCATCGTGATTAGCCGTGGTGGGTTTAGATGTAACTTTGGCAGACCATTGCTTAGTTGTTTGTGTTTGGGATGTTGTAGCAATAGGCAAGCTTTGGGACGGGGTTATTGTATTCAAGTTTTTAGAGGCGGTTTTCACACTCTGCCGAGTTTGTGAATTTACAATTTCATTTAAAAGAGACGCGTGGGAAAGAGAAGCGGTTTGCGTTGCGAGGAAAGGGTGCAATAAAGGTAAGGAACGGTAAGCTTGTTTGGATGACACTGGTGTTTCTAGCATGGATTGATGGTACATATTTGAAATTGATGATGCTGCAAGAGACGGTGGGCTGGACAGAGAAATGGAGTCGTAAGATGATGTTGCATCAGCGTCATATGAAAAAGGATAAAGAGAAGAATATGCGAACACGGAGGAGGAAAGAAAATCCCTTCCAAACGAACTGCCAGACGAAGTGACGACAGATTCGTAAGGTATGAGTGAAGACGACACTTTACCCGGAGCAGCGCGCGAAGGTTGGAGTGCGATGTCACTTCTGACTGGAGGAAGGGAAGCTCGGGCAGACAAACCTGGCAACGGTGTGGGGACGGAACTGCTGCTTGGAAACGGGGTGAACTCGCTGAAAGAAGGGGAAGGCGTGGGTTGCGGTAGGCTGGACGACGCAATACCTGACGAAAGAGAGTGGAATATTGACAACAATTATTATTTATGTATTCTATCAACTTATGTCACGTAATATACCAGCGAGACAGTGCTAGATGCAGGCTTATCCAGCTCAGCCTGTCAGAATTCTGTTACAGTATCAGAGATTAATATAAAATATGTGTTTGGGATACCATTCTGAGGTATAGCCGCGTTTTACAAGTATTTACTCATTGATATGGTAATTTTAATTTTGTCAGCAGAACGTTATAACTGAGCCGAGGACTCCACTACACTTTTGTGAGTAGAGGTGGTCTTTTTTTCTGAAGAGTTTCGGTATCAGCACAAATCTCGCCGCACTCAAATGAATAGAAAATGAGGAATCCTTTTATTGATCATCGATTGTCATTTACCACAAAAGGCCTTTGCAATGGACTTAATGTTGCTTTACTACATGTTAGTGAAAGTCTCAAAAGCAGTTTGTCTACTTGAGTATAGCTGGATAGCGGTCGTCAAATACAGAACTGTCGACGAGACTGTTTGAACTTCCATGACCGTGCTTGTCTCTGGAGGGCGCTCGAGGGATGGGGATGGCGATGGCGATGGAGATGGCGATGGCTCCTCTACGGGTGGATCTGTAGGGAAATGCAGTAAGTGATTTAGAATGTATTGAAGTCATAATGAGTTGCAATAATTGATACTTGGTGAAGGACGAACATTGTTTTCTTTTTACTTTTTTTCCTCATTTAGTCTCCAGAGAGAAGTCGCACGCTTGCCAGATTGCATGAACTGTCCTTAAGAGATATATTGTTACATATTTGCAGCTATCAAAAACAACTGGCAGTCCGGGATTAGGACTATCGATGAGTGTTTATGTTTTTCCAGCAGATTTTGCCTGTACACTGTAAAAATAGCTTTTACAGTTTAAAATCTTTACCCCCTTTTTAAACACTTGTAACGCATGGTATGTTTATTATTGCGTTCATGAATATTTTCAAAAGCTCTGTGGAATCCGCTTACCATTGAAACACATTCTCCAACGTGTAACAGTAAACATGTCGCGGTTTAACATGTTTGAAAACAGTGGGTACAATAAAAAGCGTTCAGAAATGCGTTAAACTCTAGGCGCTTCTTTTTTTTCTCTCTTTTTTTTAAGTGTTGATACATTTTCATTTCACGTGTGGGCAAATGCAATGGCTATACTTCGCTTATTCAAAGCGTGGTCTCCGGGCGGTGTCTTTTCTGCATGGAATACCTAAAAGGTTCTGTTTCATTTTTGTTTCCATTGATGACATATTGTTTACCTTTGGGTGCTTCACAGATGTATCCCTGAAGTTTAACACACTGTTCGTCTCTGAAGATACCAGGTTTCTTACGGTTTCCAGCCCGCAAGTCAACACAGCATTCACTATCTGGGCAGGAATTGACCCGTGAAGCTATTATCAATGTGTTTGTACTCCATGACAGCTAGCCCCAGTGACAGTTTGTCCAATGGGCACAATAGGGACCTGTTCCCACCCCTATCAAAATAGGGTCTAAGAAAAAATGAAATTGAGGGGCCGGTATGAAAATAACGCCAGTGCGCCAAATTGAACGCACGCAGTTTCATAAGGGCGCCACCTATCGTTCTTTCAGAGAGCTTCAACAAGCTAATACAGCTCACATTTTGCAAAGTTCCAGCGACTATCGGCTGTGTGAAATTGCTGCGGTGCCATGGGGCGGATCGGGCCTATGCAAGGCTGGATTTAAAGACCCATACGATACATTACAATCTGACCGTGGCTGGGCTGCGTTATGATTATGAAGAATACATGCGCCTCTCCCCATTCCTGAAAACGCAAAAAGTGGTCCGGATTTTATCTTTTCTCGATGGGAATAGATTTAATTATTTTGATTAGTATTTAAAGGGTTGGGCAGTTTCAGTTATCACAATGGAGGCATAGTGTCAAACAAGTTTCAAATAAATGAGTGTAAATCTTCAACTTAATAACATTTGAGGAACTCTTTTTTTCCATTTTTGAAAATTGGTAGTTTGCTACCGGGACATGAAAACATATTTTGGACCTTCTGCATGGAGCATAACTGGGGAAAAGCAGTGGGATCAGTTATAATTGCCGTTATCGTTGGTGTTTTAGGAAACACGAAGACATTATCACAATATTTAAAATGGAAATAGGCAAGTAGAATAAGAGAATGGAGAAATGCAGAAACGACAAAGTTAAAAATGCATACTGTAATTCTGAGAGGAAATAATCTTCTCAAAGGTTAGGTGAAAAACTGAAAATCACTGCAATGCTACAAGCTAAAAGTATTCAAAACAGTTAATGTGTGTTAGTGAAATGTGCATGGCAAAATAACAATCAACAGCTTAAAACAAAGGAAAAAACTCAATATTTATCGGTGCAGTAAATTAAAATGAAGTCGTAAAAAGTAAATGAGGGGAAAATGGGATCCTTTCACCTAAATCTTGACTTGAAAGTCAAATGATTTTCTTATTAATATGTTTCTCACATGTTTTCCTTCTTCTATTTCACGGTCGGACTTTCTTTTTTTCGTTTCTATGTAATTTTCCTGAAGGTTTGCAATGCAAACATAAATAATTGCATTACTCTTGACTGTATCTAATCTTAGCAACATGTCACGCATCCAAATCCAACTCACCAGTGTGTTTATTTAATAATTGTTATGGCACATTCTGTTTAAACTTGATATTTAATTTTTGATATTCCATTGTTATTTGAACTATAGGATTTTTGAGAAAACAAGGGATTGTGCTACCAAAGAATTCATTCTCTTCACTGCCAAACGTTAATGCATGTTAAAGGGACAACGTCCATTCTTAATTGAGAAACCCAATGCAACGTTACCTAAAATCGCAACTATTGCGTGGATTTTCGAAAAACACACAAAAACACACAGAGTAAAAAGTTACTTGAAACTGTGATGAAACAGAATCCAAACAGAGGGTTAAAGGTCGAAAATGATTCAAATATGGAGCGTCAGTTTAATACCAGTTTCATTTGTATCGCCTCTGTTGGGCCACTGTGGACAATCACAACCTGTAAGGAATTTATACAATCGTGTAGGATGTTAAGACAAAAATATTTTTAACATTAGTGCATCGTCCTTGCAGTCTTAAAAACAGCTGACAACTTTGTCAAATCAAAATTGTTTTCGACACCTGTTGAAAAATTCATCCCTGTCACCGTTAATGGGTTCTTTTTTCGCAGTACCTTTTATATAATGAACCTCATGAAACTTATCTAACTGAACCTCAACTCAACGTAAGTAATGCAAGTGCGTGAGGTGCTGAGTGAAATTTTTTTGTCACTGTGAGCCTACAGGGCTTGTCAAGCACCCAGAAGTATTCGTGAGGTGGGTGAGTTGTGTACATAGTTCTGAGGACATACATATCGGCCTCGAGCAGAATCCCCCCCCCCATCCGTTGATAGCCATAGTGGTCGGGAGTGTTCATTTTGTTGGTGGCGATGCGACCGTAGCATGTGCATTTCATAGTCGTTCGTGAATCAGCGAAGTTCAGTTCCGACCAAAGGAGCCTCCGTTGCTACGAAATTTGCGCCCTCTTTTGATCCAGCTCGAAGCTCATGGCCTAGGTGACGACCATCTATCAGACTGTTTTCAGGGATGAACTCATCCTGAATCAATGTTGTCAACATATTGAGATAAATCAATCCCTGGATGCCGAAATCCCGAAAGTAACATGTCTGGGATCGAATAAACTGTATGCGGATGGGCATATCATTAACATCGTGCACGCCTCTGAAGCACCTCATAATTATAACAGTTGAAGTGAGGTGTGCAAATCCGTGCACAAAGGGTGAGGTGGCATCGGCTACCCGTAGCTATCGTGGGAACTGAATTATTATAGACATGCACGCTGGTTTCTGATGCAAATAAAATGAAAGGTACGGCGTGTACAGCATGGCACGTGCGTGCATTGTATTTTCATTAATTGAGAAACTGACCTGCAATGACGTGTGGTGAGATCTCATGCATACGTTGATGCTTTTCATGCAGTGAACAAATCATTTTTTTAAAAAGTGATGTTCTCATTTCTCTCTATTAATGATAACAGACAGAGAAGGGGGTCCAGATAGAACTCTGAAAATGAGGCCCACTCATTTTTGATCGTCTTTTCCCTGATGTTTACTTTTTTGTATGTCAAGAGGTCGTAAAGAATTTAATGCACAGTTCGTTTAGGAAAATATGGAGCTTCTTGCGTTATACCTTATCGTTTCTACACGTGGAGGCACATTTTGATAAATCGTTAACTTAAGTAAAGGTCATCTGGGGATAGAATACTACACGGGTCATTTTTCTTTTACATGTAGGCTCGAGTGAAAAAAAGAAAGACCGTAACCCCACCTCTAATATGTTCAATTTACTGACTCACTGTAGAAATCGTTTGGTTGACCAGACTCCCAATTTTTTACTTCTTCGCTGAGGCCTACTCCATCGATCCAAGTGAAGTTGTGGTTGCTGTTTGAGCAATCTCTGCGGAGCCCGATCCACAGGTTAGCGGTGCCGTTGAATATGCCGTAGCTGACTGAGCGGTCGATAAAACTGACGGGTAAAAAAATGGAGTCAAGTGAGCAGGTTTTTTCCCGCTGGACTGCTCTACTCGCGAATGCTTGTTGCCCGTAATTTCACATAGGTGTTTTTTTATTTTTCCCCTTTTTACGGTTGTTGTAGCTATTGCTGTTCATGAGAAGCCAGGACCAAATATGGTGAAGGGTAAGCCTGTCTTGAGAGCAAATATTTCAAATGTCCTCATGTAGGCGTATTACGGCCTTTCAGAGGTTGAAAGCTAAATTTTGCGGGTATTTTTAACACTTTGGAGGGAAGGGGGACTTCGAAATAAAAACGTCTAAATTCGCTTTTTCTTTATCAGAAACAAAACCAAAGTGCTCCTTGTGGGTACGGAGATGGACCCTTGTCCGCTCCCCTTGCGAGCGCCAGTGCTATTGTAGAATACAAGAGTTGTATAATGCAGTAGGGCCTACGTAGTAGGGGAAACATTGATCTCAGTACTGGCATTCAGTGCCGTGTGCTTAATAATAATGTTGAGTGTAAAGGGAAAAAGTGAGTAAAAAGATGTCACGTGGCTGTTATTTTTGTCCTTTTTGCTTCTTTGGTGCTTGTTGCTGCTCTCAATTCTGTGGTTGCTGCTGATTCTGTGATATACTCTTATCACCTTGGCATTTTTATGATTGTGCCTACGCTAAAATTTGCCTCCGTAGTTACTTGGCGCGGACGCAGAAAGCGCAACAGACGTCCTCTTCATTGGACAACTCAATTCAAATTAACTGATTCCCGATCTTTGTTAATAAATCATTCATAAACATTTGCAAGTCGTTGCAGTTTTCACAATGAGCGGCAATCCCGGGAACGGGACATGGGAGGTTAAAGCCCCCACCCCCATATTCGTCATTTGTTTGCACGTCTCAAAGATTGGGTCAGTCTTTCAACCTTTTTCCTAGTGTCATGACCTAAAGACATCAAAACACCGAGCATCCGATGCCTGATTCACACCTGGTTGATATAGTCTTCTGGTTGATAACAATAATTATTATTATCACATTGGCTGGTCAAATGTTTAGGACAATATCGCATAGCGCTTCACAGTTCCTTTTTTTTTCTTTTTGGTTGTGTGATCCCGCCCTCCCCCACTTCAGTGACAAGAACTCGTCATCGCTGGTTTCAAATCTCCCTTGGGTTTAGAATTTAGCTCAAGCAAATTGTCAGTCTGAGAGCATTTTGATCAAGTCCAATCACCACCGTACCACCAAAAAGGAGCTGCATATTTTACACATTCCCCAAACGCCATTAGGCCTAATGCGTTCTAAGCACTCCAACTCACTTCTTTTCCTCAGTGCTGTTCAGTACAAGCAGGTCCCCACCAGGCCTCTGTTGGCATGCCAGCTGGGCGTCGTGCCACGTTACCTCACGGTCCCGTACGAGGTCGTAACAGCGCTCTAGGTGCTCGAGCCAGCCCTGCGGACACTGGACGGCCGCGGGGGTGGCTCCTGGGATCGAGATGGTTGTGTCGGACGGGGCAGCGGGAATCGTGGTGAGCTCAGAGCCCGTGTTGGTCACTGAAGTGAACCCCTCCTGACCTGATTCCGTTGCTGACGATGCTGTAGCGGGGTGCGAGAATGACGCTAATGTGGGGTCCGTGGAGTTCTCACTCGGCCCTGTTAAAATAAAGTCCCCGGCATTTGCGTGCAAAGTTGCATCAGGTGAAACTGTATGGACTTTCAAGTTAGAAAACCGAACTAATCCAACCTAAATGCACCCCTGATTAACCCAACCCAGTAAAGCCGGAAGCAACCCAAATTGCAGCCGGGTATTGAGACCTGCATCTAGCTTTAGAAGCTAAACTTCGATTGGCTTGGTGACAATCCACACGAGCATCGCTTGGCCATCTTAAAGGGGAGTGTCATCATGAAATATGTGGACGGGCAAAAAGTGTAGTAGTGATCTGATTTCCTGACCTGACAGTCACCTGACCCCCCCACACACACACAGTGACCCAAGTGTGTAAACGCCTTCAATCGTGGACTCCCTATTGTTCCTCTTTTGTTCATACTTCAACTTTTTCGGAAGACCTCCCATATTTTTTGTACACATTTTCCAACCGTGGACTCTTTGGCAACCGTGGACCCTATTGTCCCCTATTGTAATAGGTCCATGATTGAAGGCGTTTACACACTCATCCACACACTCTAAAAACTCCCGTGTCAGAATGACCCCGAGTTGGGTCCCGTTCGGTGTGACCCCTTTCTGGGTCAAAATACGATCCCCTTTGGGATTATACTTGTATTTTACCCTTTCTGGGTCATATTTCATCCTTTCTGGGTCATAATATGACCCGGAAAAGGGTTATGCCGAATTGCCGAATGGAACCCAATTCTGGGTCAATCTGACCCGGTGTGGCGGTCTCAGTTGTCTCCTGGTCTCAGCGGTCCCCCTTACCAAATATGGTAAAAATACGTCATGCCATCTCTGCGCACAACAACGGCAAAGTCGTCCGTTTAAGTGGCGTGCTGAGCTGCAGTGCTGCAGTCCATGCACGTGTCACGTTGTACGTGACGTGACTGTACATAGGCCGACACCAAAGATAATAGCACCGGTTATAGTATCGTACCTTTGACCTACACGTAGTAACTTCGCTGCCATGCAGACATCTCAGTACGGAAGACCACGAGGCTGTGTTTGTATCGTGCTGAAATGTCCGGCTACGTCATGGGGGGGGACCGCTGAGACCGGGAGACAGCTGAGACCGGCAAACTGGAAGGTTTTAGAGTGTATTCCTTTCCCTTTCATTCCCCATTCTTGCCAACAGCACCATGATTTTGCCGACAAAAACGCACTAATGGGGTTAAAGTTTACAATATAAAGAGATAAACAGCTCTGATTGTGACATCCCCTGGGCCACAACTGCTCTAACCACGCCCCTTACAATCCGGCACCGCAATCTAATTTCTGGCATCTTTTGTGTTTTCCTTTGAACAGTTATGTCATTAACCAGAATGTTAGAATGGGCAGAATTGGTAAATCAAGCCGCCATTTAGAATATCTGCATCTTAATTCACACATTCTGCTCATAAGCTCGTCGAGTATCAATACAAAATTAATAAAGATCCATTGTTAACACTGTCATTAGATATCTTCGCTGCATATCCAGAGATAAACACAGATTTACACCCCTAACACTCCTGTGACTCAATTTCGAACTGAAACGATTTGAATTTCGACACTCCTGCTAAAAATTTACCGCACTGCAAAACCGCGACAAGCAATGAAACAATTTTCTACATACTTTTTTAATCAATTTGTCAAGGTTTAAATGGAAACTTTAATGTTTGGATTATTGGATAGAGTTAAATTAAGCAACTAAACATATTACGTCTAGGAATCGGAAGGGAATGGTTAGTGCCTAACTATGTTTACAAATATATAGCCGGCATGTGTTTCATATAATTGCTTTTCATAGTTTGTAGGGGGTGTTTGTAAGGGCACATGCGTTTATTTTAACTCGGTGTCAATTAACATTTACTGACTTAATAGCAAATAATGTATAAAGCAGAAAAACAACGTGCTCGCTGTGGTATTCGTTATGCAACCTTGGCAGATGTTTCAAATGTACAGTCTACGGTCTTCGTCGCCTAAGTGTCCGGTTCAATGCTATATTTAACTCCGAAGCGTCATCACCCTACGAACTGATTTCTTCCTTTGGGGGTTCATTTTTGTGATATAATCAGACATTTTTTCCCTTAGGGAAACAATTTCTATTCCGTGTTTCCATGTTGTCTGGCACTTTATTTTTTTAACCTCCTATGTTAATTTTTGAACTTGCTACGCATTTTAACGGTTCACTGGTTATGTGCGACAGATTTCAGATTTTTAGATTTTCAAATCATGCAACAGCAAACTCGATATTTCAAGAGCAGCACAAAATATCTAAGTAATAAAAACTACAACATGCTCGATGCATGTCATCAGACAGACGAGTCAGCATATAACCTTCGACAATTCATCTTGGCTTCTTACACCAAGTGGTGAGAGTTGGAACTCATCAGTATTGGTCTCACGACCAGAGTCTTTACAGTTGATTTTCATGCGCACCATGAACCAGTAGACGAACAGTGTTAAGCAAAAGAAAGAAAGGGTTGCTGTATTCAAAGTCACGTCTTCATTATATTAGGAGTAATAGTCAAAACTTCAATTTCAGTGACATAAACGTCAAAAGGTTGCCTATTCTCTATTAATTAGACCTTGTTGCACATTTGTCTGGTGTATGTTATTGTTTTGCCTGTTCTTTGTCCATGTTTGTAATAGCTTGCTCATTTCCTGTCTGCCTGTAGCTTTGCGGTATTAAAGCATTGCTTAGCCCTGCGCTTAAATGTTGTTATTCAATTTTACTTTGGAACCTATGTACATATATCTACCAGTACACTACTTTATTTTACAGAGGAATATATGTAATCTCTACTCGTTGGTACAACTTTGTTCTAAGAACGACAGCATTGAATAAATGTCTCATCATAATGCTAACCGCACACGACACTTTTTCCCGCAGCTTTTGAGAATACATCCAAGATTAAAGGAAATATTCAAAATCGGAGAGACATTGGCCTGTATTCTTAATCTCGGTTTTGATATTTTGCGTTGCTCACAAGTCGTTTTTTAGTTCATTATTTTATGCATTTTTTTGTGATTTCATGCCTTGGGAATGTTTCAGCACGATTTAGCATGGATTAACACCGGCCAGAAGAGGTATGCTTTAAAACAAAACTGATTTTATGTTAACTTATTTAAAGAAAGAATGATGACATTATCATTCAATTTCTAATACTTTACTGTTTGGAGATTAAGATGTGATTTTTACAACTGAATTAAATCAAAGTATGATCGATAAGGGCTTTCCTAATAAATCACACTTCTTCATTGCCTGATGTGTCTATTTCACCAAAGCCTACTGCACAGTAGTTGAATAAATGTGATCCACTCTGTGAAAATGAGTCTTAAGTCGCACATGTGAAGAACCCTCCACAAATTAAATTAATCTCGAAATGTTACTGAGCAGAGCAAAATCGTCTTACCTGTGGTGGGTATTCTTGCGAGGAGCGTCAGTAGACACAGCCCGACAGTTTGTGTCCATCTGCTTCTCCTAGTGTTCGGCGGCATTGTCGTGTCTTGTTCGTCTTGGCAACAGCTTACCTCATGACGCTCCAACTCCAACCATCCGGACAAGAAGAATTGGAAAAGTGCAAACCGTTCTACCTTTTGTCCTCTGCCTCGAACACTCTTGGTTGGACTCGACGGGACAATGGAGCTTCCAAATGAACAGCCAGGGGCGTTAATTAGTGGAAGGAAATCCAGCCAGATTTTGGATTTGAAATTACTGCATTGCTGGGAAGAGATGGCGTCGCCCGATGTGGTTCTGGCTTGTTTTCGTCGTGCAATAATTGCACAGTGCGCTTGTGCTCTCCCAGTCAGGGGCGGTACACGCATTGTGAGTTGACGCCAACACGGCCTTCGTGCGAGCGTTTCCGTAGATCGTTCAACGTGCACAAAAAGGCATGTGGTGCGGACCACCTGCCCTGGTTTTTGTCTCCATTAATAATCGATGGCTTTATTATTCAACGATATTCCTCCATCACACACAAAGAGTGCGATGAGGTTTCCCCATTTCGTTTATTTTTATTTTTTGACTTTTTGTTCACTTATTTGTCTAGTTTTCTTAAATTCGAGCTTCACAACTTAGGCATTCTCAGACATAAACAAAATATGCCGTAGAGTTCAAATTAAGTGTAAAGATTCAAGGGTGATGTGTCAGTGAAGATCTCTTCTCACCTGAATAAATTAAAAATCCTTAATTTGTGAAGGTCAACTCACGGTGAAACGACTGGTTATGATTTCTTATATTTCATGTCCTCTACACCAGTCATATGACTCCACGAAGCGTAATATTGTTCCGAAAACATCCTGAGTTCACCACACAGTCAATACCGGAATGCACAAATTTGAATGGGTCATGTAATAATATTGTTAACTATAACCCTTGAATTTGCACCTCGGTGTGTTTCAATTAACCTAATTTCAGTTTCTGTTTTGTTATTCCAGTCTTTATTTTTGAGCCCTTTTGGTTTTTATGCTGAAAACAATTGGCATATTAATGAGCAGACCTATATATTGTGCCAAAAACTGCTCGACTGTTTTATAATTTCATTTATTCCGATCTACATTTACATTTTTGGCAAGCTACTTGTACTTCTGTAGAAATAATGGTAGTACACCAGCGAGCAACCTTTTCTCAAGAAATTTATCAAGGAGGAATTTTGAAGTTCAAAAAATATCACCATGAAAACGTGAACTAAACAGTGTCTTTTTATATGCACTATATCAACAGCGCCCTCACTTGTCCGGTAGATCCAGGAAAATTGTTAATGTTCGAAACAATGCACTTTTCGGTACAATTATCTACGCGAGGATCTCAAACAGTTTCAGGAAATTGAAAGCAAAATAAAGATTCACAAAATTGAAATGAAGAAAAACGTCTTAGCATGAATCTTTTAATGCTAAAAGGTACATTTTTAACAGGCTTTTAAACGTTAAGGAGAAGGTGCGCTATCGGGCCTTGAGAGTTGTCAGTATTTGATTCAACGAAAAGTAAATTAATGACTGCTCTAGTCAATATTTCAAGGGCTTTCTCTGAGCAGGTGTTTGTCTACTTTTTGTCTCTCTTCTTGTGAGTCTTGATGTCTGCCCAATTGATGATGTAACTCTTAAGCCTTTCCTTTTAATTTACCTGTTGCGATGGTTACAACAGAGGAACAAACAATAGTTAGTGGGAACCAGCTGAATTTCGGCATCTCAAAGTGTCATCCACCTGGCATTCCGGCATTACAACACCCTTGCCGACGCATTCATGTTTCCCCATTTGCCGCATCTCCAACAGTTTCATGATCCTATCGCCAGTGTCCGCCAGTCAGGCGTTGCGCTGTCACTCAACTGTTCTGTGTCGGCTCTTCCAGATGACTCTGCAAGCCCTGATTGGTCGCTGGGTGTCGGAGTTAACGCACTGTCAGAGCCAAAACGCGTGGTATAAAGAAGCTCTACACTTACACCAGGCAGAGGGCGTGCAGGTCAAAACAGAAATCAGATTTCTGCTTTCGATGAACTCAACCGCGCCTCGCAGCAGTAGCGAAGCACCCACTACGCTTCCTGCAAGAGAACACGAAGACTTCCCACACAACGTTGGTGCACGCGTACTTAAGCTTGAGAGCACGTGCATTTTCAGCAACCTCACGATGTCAAACGAGTGCACACCACCTGTACCCGAGCACGATCGCGTGTCATTCAAGTACCGGCTTCAGAAATAGTGTGTAGTCTTATCACAAGAAACAGTTAACATTGAATGTACTATCCGCGCTCGAACTCAAAACAAAACCACAAAAACACAAAATTGTGGGACTGCTTTCAAGTTGTCTGCGCACTAACCAAAGTTCCCTTCCTCGTTATGCACTTTTTAAAGACAGAAAAAGCAGAATGCTAGAGTACAGAAATTGGTAAACAACCATTCATTCTTGGCAGTTCTGGTTAATTGCAATGCAACACATAAACGCAATGCCTTCTAACTGTATAAAATTCTGTCACAGCGATATTACTGAAGCTCAGGTTGCCAGCCTAATGCCGGTGTGAACAGAGATTTTGCTCTCCCACGTTTTCCGTCCCTAAGGACTTTTTTCATACCACATATTCGATATTGGCGAAAAGCGGGTGATGTGCCCCGGAGATCATGAATGCAGGTAACATAATTCACAATTAATACCTTGATACAAAATACGCAGTTCTTGTTACCTCTGGTATAGGCATATCAGTCTGCATATGCAGCTCAGCATAGCTTCGTTGTCTGGGCGAAGATCAGCAGTTTGAATCCCTCCAAGACTATGTTTGTTGCAGATTGTAATCTTTTTCTTTCAAAGTGTCAGCAAGATGTTGGAGTTTGTGTATGTTTCACAATTGTGATAAAGTGTACACGACTAAACAAGACACTTGGTTGAGCGAACATGTGGTTAGGAAAAATATCGCCCCCACCCCCATAATATATTACTTTTGTCATATTAAGTCCCTCCTCCACGGGATTCTCCTGGAAAATCCTTTGTCGTAGGATTATCGTAGTCTACCCCTGCAGCAATGGTGAATCCACCGCCTGGCATGTCTGTCCCCGTGTACCCTTTAGCCCACTTAAACCCCACATTTGGCTGCAGGTGTTTTGACCGGATCAATCATGACCGCGCATGCGCATGGTGGAGAGCTAGCCGAAAGGAGAAGCCATTTCATTTCATACCGACCGAGTGCGACAGAACCGAGATGTACAGTTTGTTAAGCGCACGAAAACACAGTTCTCTTTTGCAACGACGTCCACACATCTAGACCACCTAAGTAAACCAATCGCCGGCGTTCTTAACAAGAACAGGCAGTAACATCTCGAACAAAGGCCAGGCAGGTATTTGACGTAAATAGGTGTAGGAATGTGGACAAAAAAACTGAAATGAGAAGACGATAACTAAGCCTCCTGGCCGGAGAGTTTGTGCATGGGACAGTATCGGCAACTCGTTTCTCAACGGCATTTGATGTGTAGATGGCGAATTGCGCCACACAGCGGTTTTCTAAATCTGCGATCCATGGTATGGTCATGCATTTGAGGACACTGGGAGCGTTTTTGAAACGTGGATTCGGCTCATGCTTAAATTTCGCTGGTTCCAGTCAGAGCTTGAAAATGTTGTTTCGAAAGCTGTTTCAAATGACTGGAACCACCGACACCAAAGTCGAAGCCGAATACACTCATTTAGAAACGTTTTATATTAATTTATTAGCATTGATTTCTTCCTGTACCGTTTTCAGCGAGAAAATAATACAAAATGAAATTTCTTTTAAATATCGGTACCGTCTACATTTGATAGGAGTTGAAAGGGGATCCACGAGTGGGAGGAGCAGTTTCCCCGCCCATCAGCCGCCTGAAGGAAGTAAAACAAACACACACATAAAACCACTTGAAACTAAAATGGGCAAAGTACACAAAAACAGTTGGAATAAAGACTGAACAAAATTAATGAATTTGGTTTCTTCATTAATTGACAATTGTCGTGCATAAACTATTAAAATAGGTAACAGCAGCGTGGACATTTGAACAGCACCACCAAGGCCCATTTCCGACCTGCCATCCCTACCTCAAGCCTTTTTCTGATTTCGTACTGACCGGTCAGTGTCTTAAATTTCCCTCTTGTAAGAAAAACCCTGACACTGAAAGTGGAAATAAACTCAATATCATCTGAGACATAATTATGCATATGATCTTACACCGAAGTTTATAGTTGAGTTCATTCTTTGGTTGAGAGAGATGCGCAATGCTTCTGCATTCACATCCGCTCAAACAAAAACAACAACCTCAGTATTCAGCAATTAAACGAAATTAAAGTCTCTAAAGATGCAATCTTTAAAGACTGTATATATCATCGCCCCCCTTTCTTCACTTTCCAATGTGAGGGAAGCACGATCAAAGAATTCGCCTGGCGAATTGAGGCCAGGAAACTTTGTATAGCGCCCCCTTTTTCTCAATCTCTCCCAAACGGACTTGAGGCAGGCTGAACCGAATGCGCCATTTAAACTAATAGAAGAGAATCATGCTCAGGTATGTAATTAAAAGCCGCGATCTTAGCGGAGGACCCTATTAGGACTATTGCCGGCACTAAAAGCCGCACATGAGATGTTGCAACACCGAGCAATGGCGCACACAATTAACTGTGTGTTTGCTGAACCAGCGTTACAGATGTGACTGAAGTCAGTTTTGATGAGCGCCCCATGGAAGCGACATGGTTCATTTGAAATGGTAACTGATTTTTAAACAGAGCGTGCAAAGATACTATGAACTGCAATACTTTATCTCGATTCTTTTTTTAGCCGTGGAATCGAATACGATCCCACAGTTCACCCACATCTTCATTAGAAATCAGTTTTACGTAACGAGATCAAAACTTGGGGTCTATAATTAACCCCAACCAGACCTTAGCTCAAGAAACACGCACATTTTTTAACTCAAGGTATTTCTCTCTCTTCGCCCCGTTGTGCTGCATAATTTCAAACCAACACCGATCCACCATACCCGCCGTCGACTGAAACATCTTCGCAATACAGTACTTCCGTACAGAGTTTTGTTTAATTGGGTTCTCAAAATTGAAAGGCGTGCTAAAAACGCACCCAATACAAAGACACAGGAAACAAGAACGAAAAGGCCCGACAAGGTTTTAATTCCCCGGTAATTTACTCCGAAAAGGTCACATGTAACCTGATCGCTTCGCACAGGGATGTCTATACGAATCCAAAAAAAAATAAACGTAGGCATCATCGATATACAGCAAGTAAAGGCGAAAATAGACGAATTGGATTGAGCCAGATTATTCAGTAAATGTCAATCCCTTGCCAACTGGTAATCGAATCTAAATATACACACTTCAAAACGCTCGTATCAATGTGTTCAGCGAAGTCCCGTCGAGTGTCAGCGTAGGCGTTCACCGCTGCACAATTGAAATGGAGTAGCTCAACGCACACTTTCTCATTGATTTGTCCACGCGTTAATTGCGTGGCAGGATCTCTTTTATATATTGACTAAGAATGACGCTTTTACGGAGTGAATGACAACTCCATCTTTTGAAATACACCGTCTAAAATTCGTAATGTTTCGTGCGATGGCCTTTGGTAATAACACTTAAAATTGGTTCACAGAGTAATATTAAATGATCGTAGTAATCATTTTTATCCCTGGAAGAGCTTTACCTTATACATAGGCATTATAATGGAAGTCATGTAATAACCTTCAAGTTAGAATTTTTGCGTCATTCCTAAGCATACATGACTGTTTCATTTGTACATTATTTTGATCCATCGATGTGATGATGGGATTTCACTGAGAATGTGTTTTTGTCGCAGATGAAGGATTTCCATTTTGGTTTGACCGACATTTGCGTGACATGCAACTCTGTTAATGATTTTCCGCGGCATCTTTGAACAAAATTGAATTAAGTCCGCGGGCAGGATATTAGCCTAGGTATGCATCCATCGGCGGTGCCTGGTCCCCACTCTGCGCCCAGACATCATGCACACCTTGACCCGGAACCACCGTTGCACACCCAGAAAAAGACGGGATGGAAACAAGCAGGAATTGAAATGTCACGGTTTGTTAAGCTGGGGTACGATTTGACATTTGGGAGTGAGTAAGTTCCTAATCAAATTGAGAGATTTATTTTATTATGCATGGGAACAGGGTGAAATGGTATCAAAAACATCTGAGGCAATCTTTGAAAATGTGCTGACAGACATCGTAAAGATTTTTTTCCTAAAAGAGCCGCCTTCTAAACTCTTAGAGTTGGGGTCAGACTCTGTTCCGTCGTCCTCATAATTACTCACGGAAAGGTCTCCTGCAATTGACAGAGTACATTCTGCAAAACTTTGGTCTCTTCTGTATTTTTTGTCATTTGTAATTTCCAGCATCCTTTTTCTTTTTTTTTTAATTTCTACACAGCTTTCTGGGGATAGAGCATGTGATATCCTAAGGAAATGGTTTCTTGCCAGTCTTGAGAGGAGACTAGTCCTCACGCCTTGTGGAAGCTTCCCTTGTTGAAGTGTCGGACAATATACTTCTGTTCGAAAAAAAGCACCCGCAGTCATGATTATAGCCTTTATTCAAGCGGTCCCTAGCTTGTTGTGTACAGAAAAAAAGCACCACTGAGGTTCTTTTTCCATGTCCTGAAAAGTAATGATATAATTTGTTATTTCTTTCAGAAGAAAGAGAAATTAGTAAAGAAAAGGTAATAACAAAGGAAATTTGCTGTACATTAGTCGGAGTTTCAGTCAGGTATTTTGAGACTATTTTCAAGACGTACTTTGTGTCCAGGAGTTAATTTTAATGATGGGTTTTGCCCTTAGTTTGTGCCAGCTCTATAAAAATATAAATACATTTGGAAAGGGCACAAACCATATTTTACTTTTAGACAAATCAAAAATTTGAGTTCAAGTAACTTTCAAAAACGGTGAGTTCAGGCTCAAGTCTGGATTCCTTATCTGCAGATGAATGCAAATAACCACCCAGCAGAGACGGGCGACTAACTTTAAACACCCCACTTCAATTCCTGTTGGCCGTCGAAGTCGGCAGCATTCCTTGTACGGATCCCCGTCCCCAGGGACCATCATGCAATGCGACCCGCCATCTTTGAAAACACCAGCCCGCTGCAGCCACGTGAGACTTGCACCAGAACAACCGCCGGTACTTGACGGTGCCTGGAGTGTTTTGTTATTTCACAGTTCAGTAGGTTGTTCCCCTTCCCTCATGCTCATCTGACATTTTCTGAGTTGATGCCGAGCGGACTGTATTTGAACTTTGTAATGTTTACCTTTGTCAGTTGTTAGGTAGAGACTGTCCGCTGTGCATTTTAAGCCTTGTTAGTTTGGGCATGTATGGCATTAAAATATACAAATTAAATCTGTAAATTTTTTTTCTGGCGAACCAGACTTTCTCTACTGGACTAAATCTGGTTTACTTTTGGACATATAAAATTAGGAATATGCAAGATGTATTGGTACTAGTCACGATAGATATTTATTTCAAATCAAGCAAAAGTTGTTTGGCTTCACATGCAACGTCAGAGGATTTCACATTTCCTGCTCAAGGCCAGAATTTACACAAACAACTTAGGTATTAAACGCACAAACATAACGGGGAAATCGGCAAACCATAGGTGAAAAACATAAACGACCAATATTCTGTCCACATAGCCCATTTTGCAATTAGCAACTTCCAAACACGTAATAATGGATTAGTAAAAAATGAGCGTGCATTTATATCTAATCCAATACCTATGTATACATCATTACAAATGCTTTTCCGTTAACATAGTTATAGGGTGGATACTACAAAGAAAGCGTACGAATGAATGTCTTGCCTGAAGGCTTCAGTTGAGTCGATGCACCACTAAAAAGAATCAACTCGACATTAAAATTGAAAGCAATCTTATTAAATATTGATTATGTTTCAGATTACGTGATTATTATCAATTATTGGAAACGACGTTACCATCACAAAACATAACCTTACTGTTCCATTTTTCCGATACATTGAAAGATACACGAATCAGAACACTCAAAGATAGCAACCAAGACAAAACAATTTCAATAATTAGTATATGCACATAGTAGACGATTACACAAGGCAAATATTAAAATGTTTGAAAAGAAAATACTTGACATAATAAATACTACAGTTGGCTTTATACACCATTACTCCAACTAGCATTGGATCTAATTGAATGACATTCCAGAATTTGTCTATCTCACATGTCTATATCAATTAATTTTTAATAATCAATATAGTTTTATGGCAATGGTTCCATTAAACTAAGAGTGGTTTGCGACGATTGATAAATTGCAAACACACCACAAAACACTAAAAGAAAATCCAAAGATTATTACAACGGTGTCAGAGAGTGGTCTTCTCCAAATAGATACAATCAAGACCGGTTTATGTTGACTCAAAAAAGAACTGGTGAGCGAAATTGTGACCTCAGATATTTTCGTTTTGCAAAGTTGCAAAAGTTGAGATCTTAGCTCAAGCGAATTTGGCTGAAAGTGTTTGCTGACGTCAAATTCGCCTCGCTTCCACTTTAGTATGGAGTATAAACCAGCCTAGCCGCCTTGAGCCGAAGCATCCCTCATCGGTTGAAAAGAGCCTCGTTGATAGAGAGTGCTCAGTTTGTTGGTAGTAATGCAACTGTAACGCGTGTATTTTCTATTCGTTCACGACCCAGCTAAGTCAAATCCCGACCAAAGGAGCATCCAATGCTAAGAAAATAGCGCCCTCTCTTGGTCCAGCTCGAGGCCCATACAATGGTGTCATCACCGCAGTCATACTAGCTTTCAGCACGTTCTTGGCTCGATGATTGCGTGCATTTCGGCGAGTCACAAGCTGAAGCCGTGTCCGAATTACTCAGCCGCGTGAAACTGGGCAAAACTCTACTCGAAGTGGCTTTACCTGCAACATTTTCGTGCGTGATCTTTAAGCCGCAGCCAAGTAATTCAGACATGGTCCTACCAAAAAATGTTTTGTGTGCGCTTACTGCTTGCGCAAGAGTGTGATACGATGTTGAATTTTTTTTTAAATCCCGGAGCCAACAGGCCAGTTAAAGGGTTTGTGAATGTACTTGAATCAAACATGTTCATGTTTGGCAAACTCTCTTACTTGACACCGAAGGGTGTTGTCATTAATGCTGCGTTTCCTTGCTTGGATGCGCTCGGCTGTTGCTGGACAGCTCAGAGGGTTATGCACGTTCAGGTTGTTGAAATAGATTTCGCGCACAAGGCTCAGCACGCGTGTGCGAAACATGATGTGTCCATTACCATTACTGCAAAGGGCAACGGATGAGATTGTTTTATAAGTTGCTAATACATGTATAACAATTCAACTCATACGAACACATTTCTCCCTATTACACTGTACTTGCGATTGCTGTCAGTCGATATTGCTGTAATTGACGAGTTATAAAGAATGAAATTTATTTCAAAATCCAATTAATTTTACGCTCGTCTGCAAATCCTTAGTGGGTTTTCAAAGAAAGTCTGAGTTTGGGCATTATGGGTAAATAAAGTAACTACTTCCTCTGCAGCACTCAAGCTGGTGGTCGGCTGGCTCAAAGTTGACGGTCCATTCATATCCAGTAACCGCAGTCTCACGGCTGCTGCTATTTAGAGGCCACTTTGGATAGGCTCGTTCAGTCTTTAAGTGTGGTCCATGTACAAATAGCCGAGTGGCTCAATTACGCTGTGTGTTGACGATGATTAACTATACAGTCCATTAAAAAAAATCGATCAAGTCCATAAGGATACCCCGTAGGTATGGAGAACTCTTTGACATTATCGCCTCTTGTTGGTGAATTCGTTGAAAAGTCTGGAGATGAAGCTTCCAGGGCGTCCATCTGAAAATAGAATCGTACCTGGATTAGTCACACAATGCCTTTGCTACAGCATGTCACAAGCCAACAACAGCGGTTGGATTTAGTCACGGATACCGGGCTTGTGAAATCCTAGAACAGACCACGAGAAGTCGTTATGATCCACCATACGCAGACCATTCACTCAGCCCACGATATATCCACCACTGCTATCTCAAGACATATCCACCACTGCTATCTCAAGACATATCCACCACTGCTATCTCAAGACATATCCACCACTGCTATCTCAA